CACTTAGGATAAAGTCCCTACAAGAATCTGCTCAATTTCTCCTCTCACCTGACTTCTCCCTTTTGTCCATTTCCTTCCATCGTCCTATGTGGCCCTGAACTAATTACAGTGTCCCTAACGTTCCGCGTGTTCATCCTCTGGGCTGCTCTTTCCAGGCCAGGGGCCCTTCCACAACACTCAGCTAACCAACGCTGCTCTCAGACACCCTCTTCTCCGCCTGGCTGCCCCACTTTCCCACCCCTTGGCTGAATTTGTGCTCCCTTCTGCACATTCTCTTGCACCTGTGTGGAGCCCCAGAATCACAGCATGTACAACTGTCAGAGACTTCCTCATTTCTCTGCTGAGCTAGCAGAAAAGTTCCTTGGGGCAAGATCACTCTCTCCCTTCCCCCCAAACATCTAGCTCAATGTCTGGCAAAGGTAAATGCAGTGAATGAATAGGTAGACAATTCACCAACCCATAAGTGGACTACGGAAAGATCAAGCTGAAAGAATCAAACAGTAAAACTATTTCCAATATCAACATGCTTTGCTTTTCTGTTCTCAATTTTTTTCTTTTATTTTCCAGATGAGTAATAGGGTCTGCATGGTAATTTATTTTTGGGCTTAAAGTTTTGTTTCTCAACAACCAGAAGTCTCGGTTTCCACAATGTTGCAGTCATCCTCTCCTTATAGCACCTAACATTAATGTCATCATTACAGCCTTATGTAGTATTCCAAATATTGTCTAGGAAAGCCGGGCATGGTGGCACACGCCTGTAATTCTAGCACTTGGGAGGCTGAGGCAGGAGGATCATTGCGAGTTCCAGACCAACCTGGGCTACAAAGTGAGCTCAAGGCCAGCCTGAACTGCATAGCCAGACCCTGTCTCAAAAAGACAAAAAAAAAAAAACCATATATGTGTGGTGTGTGTGTGTGTGTGTGTGTGTTGTCTAGTGGCTTAAGACAAGGACTTTGCTGACAAACTCATTGGGCCTGATTCTGCCTCTACCATTTAGTGCTATATAATCTTGGGTTAGTTACTTCACAAGTTACTGAAACTTGATTCAATTTCCCATCTGAAAAATGAGTGAAATCACTTCATATCCGTATTGTTAAGATTAGAGCTCAAACAGACCATAGCACATGTTAAATGTTCCATAACTGTTGGCTATTACTTATTATTTTAGTCTCCTCTAGGTAGACTATAAGCTCCTGAAAAGCAGAATTATTCATTTCCACTGCCTATCTCTCCAGTAACTTGTACAAAATAACAAAGTAGGCTGATAGTTGTTGAACAGATGAATATAATGAAGTATTCATAGCAAAAAATGCATTATTAATTATGACAACTGGTATGGGCAGAATTGCTCCAACAATTTGGAGGCAGGTAAAAAACAGGGGCCATACAGAATATTAACAGTTTCCCTTGCTATTGGAGGGGCGGAAGTTCACCTAACCTTTACAGAATACAGTATTCAAAGTCAGACAGCTGCTAGTGGAGGGACCAGGTGAGGCCTTAGAGCTGGGCTGGCTGAGCCTCTGGCCTTCCCTTTAGGAAGCTGCATGGCCCCAGGACAAGTTTTGCCTCTCCCACTGTGCTTAAAGAGAAGGTAGTACTGTGATTCCTAAGGACCCTTCTAGCCACTTTAGGAGTCTATAGACTCACCAGATTAAAAAAAAAAAAAACAAACTAGGCCCACAAAGGTGCTTCTGGAGGGAAAGAACCACATCAAACCCAACACAGGAAGTATCAGATGACTACAGCAGGGGACTACTGGGTGAAAAGCGGCCCCTTGAGACATAACGAAAAGCACAGTTTTTTTTAACATGCCTAAGATGAAAATATTTGCACTTATCAAATCAAAAGAACAAAAGCAATGATGGGTATTTTCTCTAAGTCTCCATTTAATTCCTGTCTGCCTACAAGTTTCTTCAGGGCAGTGGATGTGCCTTGCCAAATGGCATTGTTTGGCAAAGCTGTTCACCATAAACACATTTCTTCTTGACCTTTTTTATTTCTCCCAGGGCCTATGCTTAACCTACATTTCTCAGGCTTCCGTGCAATTAAATGTGATCATATGACTTGACCGTCAAAAGACAGTGAGTAGGAGTGATACCTGTCACTTCCAACAAGGCATTTCAAAAATGGTCACACCCCTACTCTCTCTTTTGTCCCATTTGTCAAGTAAATAGCCTACAACAGAAAGCTAGGGAATTATGAAGTTGCAAGACAGGGGTGTGGGACCCAGAATCACTGTACGCAGGAAAACCACTACAGGCCAGGAACAATCTATTTCGGACTATTATATGAGCAGGAATGAACATCTACTACTTTTGAGCCATTATTTCTTTGTAGGCCTTTTTTTCTTTACAGGTGCTAACATCTGTCTAATTAAAAGAGGTGCTGACCTAACTCACACGTGTGGATCTTCAAGTGAAACCACTGAGTCCCTGTAAGATAAAACAGGGCAGGAAATGAAACAAATAAGATTTGATTCCTTTCCTCAATAGATGGGCCAACTAACAGAAAAAATGTAGAAACAGATTATGACAAACGCAATGCTGGGTCCAAAGGTTAAACAGAACTTCAAACAAGTCAGATGAGGTTGGGGACCCCAGGACCCCGGGGAAGGCAGAGTGTGCCTTTGTTCACATTCAAGCGTATCATTGAGCTTGAACTTGGTCAATACGGTATGAGTGTATTGTGAACTGATTTTCCTTTCTCAGTCTGGTGTCAAACAATCCTTTGTTTTTACAGTACTCTCATTAACCCTACCTTTTCAATGTAAAAAGTTCCAACATGAACATCCTTAGAAAGTGCAGTAGATGTGTAATGAATCACGACAACTATTTTCTAACAAACTTCTTGAAGAATAAACTTGAGACAGTTACAATACTTATGAGAGTTGAGGAGCCATGCTTTTAGGAGTCAACAGGGCCAATCTAATTTTTGACACTATCAATTAGGCACATGCCACTAGCTCACAAAATCCAACATTAAGCCCCAGACTTACACGAACATTTCCAGTTTAAGAGAACTATCTGAGGGTTCAGAGTTCTATACCCCTGTTCATAGCTAAGTGCCCAAAAGACTGATAGTTAAACCACTTCCTTCAAAAGTCTGAGTCCCTTCCTCTTGACAGCAGTTCCCATGGGGCAGGTACTGGGGAGAAAGACTGCACAAAGGGTGCTGTTGCTCTGGTGGTGAGAGGAAGGATGTGGGCATCTATCTGAAGGTTACCTTGAGGCAGGCATGGCACAACTCCAGTGATCTACCAAACGCCAACTCGATGCTGTTTTACTGATGTCCCCGAGTACTTACTTCAATAAAAAGGTAAAACAACATCATGGGGCAGACCCATTCTGTTTCAAGGGACTTCAGAAACCCAATGCTTTAGAGCTGACAGAAACAGCAAGTCAGGGTGCCTCACTCTTGACAAACACTAATTTAATTCTGATTCAGAAACAAAATCCTTTTTATCTTACACCAGTGTATCCCACCCCAGCTTTCAGTAACTGTCCCCCAAAAGACGAGGAAAACGAAACGTGAGGAAGCTACTTAAAAGTAAAACAACTCTAAAGACTGCTGGAATCATGTTCCCCTTAAAAATCTAAGAAACACTGCAGCTGCCAGTCAACACTATTGGTCTGTGCACACAGCAAAATGCCGGCACCTGCCACCCGGCATCTAGGGGGCCTTTCTTTCTTCTTTCTTTTTAATTTGGTGAACGTGGCAAGAAAGACCCTGAGATCAACGGCTTCGCTGGAAAGAAAGGGAAGCCCCAGGGTAGAGAAACAAGAAGCATCGTGCCTATCCTTGGGTACTTTGTGTGTCTCCTCTCTATGCACTGAAAGGGCTCTTTGTGTCACACACTCACACACACACACACACACACACACACTCGGCGAGTCTCTGTGATTTATCGGAGGAAGGAGGGGCAAGAAGGGTGATTTTATTATCCTTCTCCCCAGTGAGTCCCAGCAGATCCCAATGGGGCCCAAGCTCAGTGGCCTCTTTCTGGCCCAGTCCCCTCGCCTGTGGCCGCAGAGATAAGAGAGGGGAGGAGACCAAACAAAAACAGCCATCGATCTGGGGAAGTGGAGAGGAAATCCAGCGAGTGAGCTGGGAGGGAGGAGAAAGGAGCCCGAGGAGCAGCGGGGTGGGGGACAGGGGAAGAGGAGGGCAGGCTCCGGCGCAGGGGGCAGGGGAACGGAGGCTGGGTGGTGGCACAGGAAGAGTGAAGGGGAGGATGGGGGAAGTGCTAGGGAGGTGCCAGAAATAGGCAGGAGGATGCGCTGGGAAAGGCGACGGCCGCCGAGGGAGGAGGCCGAGAGGTGGAGGAGTGGGGCAGGGTTTGGGTGGGGAGGGAAGCAGCACGGGGCATCAATTATTAAGTGATTACATCATCCCTGACATTACAACAACACACACAGCCCGGGTCCCCGCGGGGGGCCCCGAAAGGAGGGCGGGGGCCGGGTCTGGGCCAGCCTCCCGCCCGAGCCAATTCCCGGGGAAATGGGCCCCCCAGCCTCGTGCAGCCGGAGGCCGCACCCCACGAGCTGCCTCGGGACCCGGCCGCGGGAGGACCCCGAGCGCGGGGCGCCCCGGAGAG